GAAGATCAGGGCAGATCTGCCCCCATTCTTCCCTGTCACACTGGCAGGGACTTTCCGGCCGGGTGAGCAATGACCTTTGCTATTGATTGTGTCCCATTTGTCACCAGGCATTGTGCATGAAACTGGAGAGTCTTCTCTGCCGTGCTGACAGCCAGCGACTATATCTTGGATGCTAATCTCAGGCTCATTGCTATTTTAATCTCATTATTGGGTAGAGTAGACTCTGTTTGATAGCAGGTCGCCTGTGATGGCTGTGTCAGCCACTCTGTGGAATCCCAGAGGAAGCAGAGCAGAGGGTACTGCATATTCATTCATGTGCCCCTCTTCCCCTTCAGTGCAGGGGCTTGCTGGGCTGCTCAGTCCCTGGAGGATGATGTGCTGGGAAGCTCCCAGGGCAGGTCGGGAAGAAGCTCAGGAGAAGGGGTGGCATGGCTGTGGCTGAAGGTGAGAGGCACCTGAAGGTGTCCATCAGAGCAGGGGTGCTGGAGCTCAGCCGTGACTTAGTGACCAGCTCACAAGCCTGGGCTGCAGGAGAGGGAGTTCCCTAGGCCGTGCTGTGTGAACAAGTCACTTCTGTCCTGATTAGGAGGGCAGAGAGCCAGAGCTGACCAGTAAGGGGAGTCCCAGCTCCAGCCCTTCAGCTGATGTTGAGTGAATCACATTTCAAGTGGTCAGTGGTTACAAACGGCCCCAGGGGGATGCTTTGTGAAGGCACAAGGCACCTACAGCTACTCCTTAACCCCCTGCAAGCCCGAATCTCTCTGTTCTGTCTCTTGTGCCAGTAGTGTGTTAGTGAATTGGCTCCTTTCTACAGTGGAGTGCTGTTTAGGGATGGCAGGCAAGGAGGGAAAACAGCACAGGCGAAGGAAAGCAGATGTTTCAAAGGGTGGGGACAGGATTCAAGTAGCCTAAATATCAGCAGAGGGGAAATCTCTCACACCACAGTCATGAGGGACAAAGAAACTGCGGAGTCAGGTAAATATGAAAGGCAAAATAAGGAGGAAAGGTGACAATAGATACAGAAAACCTAAGAAAGGAGGGCAGCTCTGAAGAGGAACCCAGAAGGACTGGAGATCTGTGAGCAGGGAATTCTGCAGTTCTGACATCCCAAGGATGTCTGTACCAGCAGGGAAAAATAAAAATCTCTATAAATTGAGTATGCAAGAAGTGTTGGAGAGAATAAAAGTGTTACTACTTTTGCCCTGGGGAGGAAAAGAGAAGGGTGCATATAAGATTACCTGCCTGCTTTGGGGGACCCTAGAAAGCTGGGAGGGAGCCTTTAGAAATGGGAAGGTCTCTTGGCAGATTGTTTATGAAGCTTCCCAGCATTTGCCTCCAGAAACAGAAAAACAGATGGAAAGAGACCCAGCAGGGAAGTGAAATCTCATTTATCTGCACAATGCCATCCTCCTGGCTCCAGCCAGCTCTCTGCATGTCAGCTACCATAGAGCCTACCCTGTCCATTCTGCTCCAGGCCTTCCCAAGCCCATCCATCACCCTTTGGCTTCTTATTTACAGGCAGCAGCCTGGCACACGAAGCCGGGTTTATTGTCTGTCATCCCTGCCACACAGGCACATCCACACAACACCCATGTAGATGCACACACACTTCGTCTATTGCTGCAGCTTGGGATTGTCTGGAGTCCAGGAAATCTTTGTGCACGTCTGCCAAAGTCTGAGCTTATCAGAGCCAAAAAGAAATCTGGCCCAGCATACGTGCTTGGGGTCTAGCTTGGTTCAGCCCTTGAGCATACAAACTGCATCATCTGCAGTCTGGGGTGAGAAAGGATCTTGACAGTCTCTCAGTTCAAGGGTTTTGTTCCTCTTGGCTGTGACATGAAGAACATATGTGAGAAGTTAAAGCTGTGGCTGTCAGGTATAATGCTGTAAGGGAGATACATGAATGGAGGTGGATCATCTGATGTTGCTGCTTTGTGAAATACAACACAGATGCAGCAGGGGCAGTTTCAGAGCCTATTTCAGAGCCAAGGTGGCACAACTGTGTTTATAGGGGGAAAACATGCCTGAGTTTCTTTGTACCTACTCAGTCCATGGCTGCCTTGCAGGATTATGAGCAGAGTATCAGCGTATTGTAATTGTAGCAGTGAGTCCAGAGAGACTTCCCACAGGGAAAGTTACTCAGTATGCAAAAAACCCTCTAATTTCCCTTACAGGATTGTAACCATCCACTGCTAACCCAAAATGGATCAGAAATAGTGGCTGAGACAGCACTGCAACTCAGTCCTGAGCCTGCACCCTGGGCAGCTCTAAGGCCTTATCTTTGCTGTACAGGTGTTCTTGTGAAAAGGCAGATTTGCTGCCTCAGGTGGTTTGTAATCCTGAGGGTCTATAAAAGAAATGCAGGTATGGGGTGGAGCAGGGGGGATGTAGGTCTGGTCTAAAGAACTGTGGGGCAGCTTAACTTGGCAAGTACTTCAGCTGTTTCCTTTACTAATACATGAACCCTAAGAAGAGTGTGGGTTCTGGGCTTGTTGTAACGTGTGTCTTTTGTTTATAGCAATTTAGGAAAGGCATCTCCTTACAAGGCCAGGCTTCTTTCTGCCTGGCAGAATTTCACCTGTGCAGAAAAGGTGCAGCACAGTGTGAGAGCCTTGCTGTCACCTACGTCAGCAAGCCCAGGGCTAGGTGGTCCTGCCAGAAGAGGGGGTGAAGTTAACTTTGGTGCTCAGACGTTGAGGAACCTGAGCACTGAGAACTGGGGATGCTGTTGTGTTATCTTAGCTGCCTCTGGAAGTGTGAATTTTACAGCTTTGGTAGGGTAAGAAAAGTGAAGGAGGTAGGAAGAGGTTTCTGAAGTTAAAAGTAGATCACGGCATGGAAACAAGTGACTGAGGAGAGGGCTGAGACTCATTTGCCTCCAGCACAGAAGAGTTGCATTAACCCAAGGTACCCAAACTTATCCATGCACCAGTTTGGTTTAGCAAAACAGCTCAGATCTCCCCTGACAACAGCGTGATACAGGTATTTATCTGCATTATTAATGCAAGATTCCCAGTGACAGTAACACAGCGTGTCAGCCTGCCCCTCTGCCAGTGCAGAGATGAGGCAACCCATGTGCTCTAGCTGCACTTTCATCCCGTGCAGTGCCAACAAGACAGCTGGGCAGCTTAAATAAATGCCCCCTCCACTTGGAAGCAGACCTTCTGTTTAACTGCCCTGCAGCATTTAGCTGCCTCCAAGCTCCTGCTGAAAACCAGAACGTGCAGCTTGTGTCTGTCAGGTTCACCATCAAAGGGCCCTTGTCTGTGAGAGCGAGATTGGAGACACCCTCGCGCTCTCTTTGCACTTGTTCTCTCCTCTTGGTATTTTGCCTACAGATGAAAAGGTAAGATGCTCTTTCTGGCTCTTTGAGTTGTTCTGAGTGATGCCTTAATCCAGCTGGTTTGCTCTGGTTCTTAAAGAGAAAATCCTAGGAAGAAAAACAAAGACCCCATGGTCTGGGAAAAAAAAAACAAATGACCCCATGCAGAGCCTGCATGTTGCTGGGTTGCTGTTTTTTCCATTGGTTTTGAAGCAGGACTTGATGTGCTTTGTTAATAGATTTAGCTGTCAGTCTGGTTTTCCTTTGTTCCAGGTAGCTGCCAATAAAATGCTACTTCATAGTGTTATGCCTTCAGCAAATAAGCTTCCCAGCACCTCCTAAATCAAGCAGCAGTTTTTTGTCCTTTGTGACCAGTAGAAGAACCTGCTTTTTGGGCACTGCATAAAGAAAAGGCCCCTGTCCTGCCTACCTCTTTCCAGGGGAGGGCTGAACTGAAAACTTGCTCCCAGGCTTTGAGCAACAACAGAGAGAAATCTTGGAAAGGCAGAATTGGCTGTTGAACGTGTGAGCAGGCTTTCTTCAGTTAACAGGATAAAGCCATCTCCCTCCAAACTCACAAGACGCTCTCTGAGGCTGGGTCAGCTATCATGGCAGAGCTTTCACTGACTCAAAACACTCCACATCTGTCTCAGAGGTGGAAAGAAAGAGCCCAGGCTATTCTTAGGGTGTCTCCTGTCAGCTCCACAAAGAGGCTCAGAGATTGGCCTCGAGGGTTGCTACCTGCCCTTCCCAGGTGACAATGGCTGGTCGAACAGCCAAGCACCTGGAGAGGGAGTGCAAACGATTGCAATTAAGCAGCAAAGTGGTTCACCCGGTGGGTGAACAGATGGAAATCAGGTGCAGTCGGAACTGGCGTGCAGGAAGGAAGGGGAGGAGGTTGAGTGGCTGTAACTCTGTCAGTATTTCTCCAGTGTAAGCAGGGGCCTGGTTTTCTGGCAGTCGGTTTTGCAGGGAACTTTGGTCTTAAGTAGGTCTTCATGCTGCCCAGACTGAGAGGGACAGTCTGAGAAAGCTGCCCCAAAGCAAAAGGCTGCACTGGAAATGCTGCAAATCCCTTTCCCCTTTCTGTGGGAAATAAAAGAGGAGAATGACTTAATTAGAGAATGCTCTGACTTGTGCAATGTCCCACAGCCATGTCTTGTAACACAAATACAGGGATGAAGGAAGACCTTCAGAAATATGACAGTGAGGACAGTCTGCAGACACAGCACTGAGGGACTTGGTCTCAATATTCTTTGGACTTAAATTACCTTCCCAGTGACAGCCTTGTCTGGTTGGGTGAAGGGTCAAGGAGGGAAAGTGGGACAAACTAGAAAAACCTCAGTCTGCCTCCCTGCCCTTTGATCTTTAGACCAGCATCCCCTACTCTGCTGACAGCAGATTTATTTCTCTGCTATGCCATGAGGTATCAGCAGAAAATTTCCAGCGTTTTTTCTTCCCTTGACCAATTTCAGCCACCCTGAAGCAGTGTGTGAGTGCACGTGAATGTCTCTGGCTTGAGCTGCTCAGGGCTGTTGCTGGTCCTGCGAGGCCACCATCTGCCCCCAGTTTTGTTCATCTTGACATCTTCATTGCAAGGAAACCAGCTGTGAGGAGGGGCCAGTGCCAGCCAGGCCCAGGATGCCAACCTGGCAGCAAACAGCTCTGGCCAGACAGCTAATGCTGTGCCTGGGCTCAGGGACTGTGGCCAGCAGGAGCCAGCCCCCCCCAGCCCCTCAGATGGTGGGCTATGAATGGGGAGGGTAGGGGGGCCTATCGAGGAATCAAAGGGAAATGTCCTGCTGATTGATGGCCTCATTTGCACATGAAACTGGGACCTCTCAGCCCTGCAGGCCCTGCACGTGTGTCTCAGCTGCTGTAGCCAGGGCTGGGAGAGAAGGGTAACCAAGGAGGGAATAACTCACTTCCAGCTCTGGACGTAATAGTGTTTTTTATCTAAGTGTTCTAGGACTGAATCCTGATGGCCTTTACCCTTCCTAAATGTTGGTTGTTTACTTTTTTCTTTTTTTTTTTTTTTAATTGCAGGTGAGGCAGAGCACCCAGGATTATGGCAGCTTCTTCCACCTTCTTCTCTCCTTTCCTCTTCCTGTGCGCGCTGGTTCTTTCTGACATCAGTCTTGCAGTCTCCCTGAACCCTGGCACAAAGCTCAGAAATGTTCCAGACGGCGACAACCACCTTCAAAACCAAGAGATGTGGCTGCAGCAGCCCAAAATTGGGCACCACCACAAGCACGGCTTGGCCAAGAAGGAGAGAGTCCATGCCATGCCTTCGAGAGGGCGGCCGGCCGGGGAAGAGACCCTCAGGATGGGCAGCGGAGCGTCAGCTGTGGAGGAGCTGGTGACAGAGGGACAGCCAGCAGCCCTGAAACAGAACAAGGATGTGTTCCTGGGCTTTGAGTTGCCGTATCCTGAGAGGGAGAACCAGTCCCCGGGCTCTGAGAGGGGGAAGAAGCAGAGCCGGGAGCAGCGGCGGCACAGCCGCAGGGACAGGCTGAAACACCACCGAGGTATTTGAGCTCCAGGGGCTGGTGGGGGACTGGCAGTGAGTGTCAGTGGTGTGAGGGCAAGGAGATGCAGCTGTGGTTGAGCCACATGGGTGTGTGGAGGGTGTGGGGTGTGTGCCTGCTCTGGGGAGAAATCTGCCAGACAAAGGAGGCACAAGAAGAAAGGGGAACTCCAGAACCAGAGGGGGTTAGTGCTGGCTGCAAGTTTGTGAGAATGACCTGGTTTGCCTTAGAGGGGCAGCTCAGAGAGTCCCTGGGACTTGAGGGGTTGTTCTAGGGTGGCCTGTTTTGTTGGCTTTTTAGTAAATGGTTCAAACGTGTTCGAGCCATGCTCAATCTCTCCACTGACTTCAGAACATGACCAGAACTAGAAATAATACAACCCCTTTATTTCACTTGAAGAACAGTTTCTTCTCACCAGAGCTGGTATTCTTCTATATTTATGCTAAACTACCAAAAAATATAATTTTTGCCCATGTGAAACTGCACTAATGACTTTGAAATGTCGTTTGGTTTTGACTGGGACTGCTTTCCTTTGCAGGTCAAGTTGTGGGTGTGTGTCTCTGTGGTATGCTCTGCTCACTGTGGTAAATCTTGAGTTTGGTTAAAACCGGGCAATTTGTGTCAGTCTACACTATGTGACGAGCTGGGTGTCACATCCCTGAGTTCCAGCTCTCACTCCTTCCTACCTCAGTAAGAAGAGCTCTCTTGTTTTCTCAGGGGACTGACTAAACAACTCATGTTAAGCAATAAAGAGGAGGATGCAACAAAGCTGGTTTGAAGCAATATTTGCAGACTACAAACAGGTCTTGTTTCTTGGGTTTAACTTAAGGTCTATATTTAAATTAATACTTATGAAAAACAGGGATAAGCCTGTGAAGATCGGAATTTCAATTTAGGAGCTAAAATAACTCACTACTAAAATAAAATAAGAATGTATTCACAGATATTTGGTGCAGCTTAATCCATTGGTTTAAAAATGGTGAAACAGGTACGTTTTGTACTCTTGAGACCAGAAGAAGACATCTTTTTCTTCTTAAGCAAGAGGTAGACATGCCTTCAAGAAGGTATGATTACATATGTCTTAAATGTATAAAAATCAAGCTGCGTATACTCTGGACCTGATCTTCTATTGCTTTATTGGCTCACTACTCTGTTTTATGTTGGCCTAAAGAGCAGCTCGGGGTTGTGGATGGGTGAAATCTGAATTCCTTTGGCTCAAATCTATGGCACTCAGAGAAAAGGGATGAGAAAGCCAATGCTGCTGTGCCTGTTGCCCTCTGCAGGGAAGACTCCTGATGCTGGGCCGAGCTCCCTGTACAAGAAACCTGAAAGCTTTGAAGAACAGTTTCAGAACCTCCAGGCAGAGGAAGCTACAAGCCTGACTCCCACCGTGCTCCTCATCACTGCCCTGGACCAAGCTGCTTCCACAGAAGAGCCTCCTGTTCTTCCAGCCACCTCACCACGGTCACAGGTAGAGCTGGTAACTGCTTTGTCCCTCCAAGCCCTGTCTGTCCCTCATCTGTCCATCTCCCCTGAGCTTCACCGACCAGAGAGGCAGTAGGAGCCCTTGGCTGCAGAGCCACCATATCCTAACAATCCTTGCTCACTCTTTTGTCCTCACATAGAAGAGTGAAAACTTCCTTCTTGGCTTCAGCTGCAGCAAGGGAGAGCTCTCCCCTTTGGAAAATGAGATGCCAGGAATCCCTGAAGGACAAGGCAGAGCTGGAGATGGGGTGGAGGGGGAATCATAAGGCCTTTATAAATGTCTAAAAGCACCATAAAAATTCTCAAAGACTTCAGTGTCACTCCAGAAGAGTAACCCATTGTCTGTCTGGTTTCTTGTGGTTTGCAGGCCCGCCTCAGGCAAGACGGGGATGTGATGCCCACCCTAGATATGGCACTCTTTGACTGGACAGATTATGAGGACCTCAAACCAGAAATGTGGCCATCTGCTAAAAAGAAAGGTGCTAAACCTCCCTGTCCTCTTTCCCAAAAGTTCCCCTTGTAAGGCTTGTCCCACGGTTAGTGTTCCCAGATGTGCTGAAGGGCATGAGATCATAGTGGTGGGGAAAGAGAGAAGCAGCATAATGCTGATTGTGTTTTGTGCTCAGTTGCAGAATGTTTCTCATTTTGGATGCATAGTTTGAGGGCAGAGGAAAAATGATAGATGGAGGGTTGAGAAATAGGGAGGAGATTAGACTATGAAGGTTTAGAGTTCAAACTCGAGATGTTTGAGGCTGCTTGCACCCTGGAACAATATACTCTCCGGGATGAAAACAGTAGCATGAAATTTTCTATCAGCATCTCTTTTTTTCCCACAGAAAAGCGCCGCAGTAAGAGCCCCAACAGTGGAAACGAAACTGTGACAGCTGAAGGGGAGCCATGTGATCACCACCTTGACTGCCTCCCAGGTCAGGATCCGCTTGGCAGAGGCATTTCTCCAAACATGGGATTGTTTGAAATGCATCCTGATTGCTGCTGCTGATAGGGAGTGGTGGTATCCAAGGGAAGGGCAGGGCTCTCCAGGCCACTGTAGGAATAGATGATGTCTGTGTGATGGAGCTGTGAGGGGTGTCAGTGCTCCCACAGGGAAGGGGTTACATGAGCTGTGCTGATCCTGTCCCTGTGTTGCAGGCTCTTGCTGTGACCTGCGTGAGCACCTCTGCAAACCCCACAATCGAGGCCTTAACAACAAGTGTTACGATGACTGCATGTGCACTGAGGGTGAGTCCAGCTCTTTGCTCTCCCCCGCTGTAGATGACAGCATTGGCTTGGAATAATGGTTTGTATGTGAAAATAAGAGCTAAGCTCTGCTGCTCTTAGCCTTTCCCTGCCACTGACTCACAGTGTGGCTGTTGAGTCATCCAGGATATCTTGTTTTCCCTCATGAAAACAAAAATCCTCCTATCTACAAACCTGACAGAAGCAGCCACAATACATTAACACTTCAGTGGTGCTTTCAAGTATCACAGGCTATAAAAACAGACTGCTTTGCATGACCTTGTGCCTAACATGTCTTTCCCAAGATAATTTCAGCCGAGCTTGTAGCAATTTAGTAGATGTGGGAAGGGCACAGGCGTTTGTTTCTTAAAGCTGCTTCTGAGGAACCCACAGCAGCCCTTGCTAGACAAGTGCATCACAAAGATGTTGAAAGGCACTCTTCTAGACTGAACATGTTCAGGGGCAGCTCCAGGCACTGGGTCTTGTTTGCCAGAACAAAACTCTGGTTGCCAAGTTTTGTGACCAGTGATTTGACCAGGTCATTCACCTGTTTTTACCCAATTAAACAAGCAGCTTCCCTGGAGCTGCAATGTTAAATGGTAGTCTTCACCTTGAGTGTGTTGTGTGACACCTGAAGGTCCTCATCAGAGGTGACCTTCTGATAGATTAGCCTAGAAAAGTGTTTCTGCAAGCCTAATGAGGGCTGCCCCAGGCCCTGCTTTATCCTTAAGCTAGTTATAAGTTGATGCCAAATGTGCATCCTCTGCAGCATTAAAAAGATCCCCAGAGATGGAAGATCCAGATAAGGCAGACAAGAGGCTTAGATAAGAGCAGAGCTCTGATCTTGTGTGCTCTCCTTCTGGGAGGCCAGACTGCCCTGGGGGGATTGGTAATGAGGGGCACAAACCCAACTTTGAGGTAGCTGGTCTCAGGGTAGCCCAGGGACATGCACTCCAAAAGGCTGCTCTGTGACCTGTGACATCCTCTGGGTCTCTGGGGTACAGCTGAGGACAGTTTGGGGCCGTCTCATTATGTGAGCTATAAATCCTCAGCCTGCCCTGCTCTGGGGGTGCTGGCACTGTTGCTATCTGCTGCCTGCTCTGGAAGGTAAAAGAGCTGCAGTTTCAGCTCCTGCCAAGCCCAGTGAAAATCAGGGTTACTGAAAATCTGGGCTTTTGTGAGAATTATTTACCCACAGGCTGTACCCCTGTCTGGGCCCGACTAACTATGCATTCTGGTGTAACAAAGTCAGACAATAGGCACCAAAAAATATAACTATTGGTGCCAACAACCCATTAGTAACCCTGATCAGAGGCTCCCATTGCCTTCCACTGCCATGGGAGAATATGTACTCATGGTTTTTACAAATAAAATGCCTCTTTTCCTCTTAGTATTCATCAATGCTATATCAGATAGCTTCCTTCAAACCCTGCACTTTGAGTCCAAACCAGACAAATTGAAGGAGATGAGCAGTGAGCTTTGGATCAGACCTCCCAGTAATAGCACTTCAAAGTCTTTTCCCTCTTCTCTTGAAGCTTCAGGGAAATAAATAGCAAGGGGAGGTCCCAAGCCATTGCTGCTGCACATTAAGTCTATAGTAATTTCCCAATGGAGAGATCACTCAGACAGTAATGGGAAGTAATAGGGGGAAACCAAGCAGGGCTTCCATAAAATCACTAGAAACAATTGGAATAATTCATTGGTATTTCAAAAAGCCAGTGAAACCTGCCTGAACCAATGAATCCCAAACCAGAGCAGGGAGCCAAGCAGAATGCCAGGGCCTGGAGAGAGCAATGCCCTGCCCATGTCAGGCATTTCCATCTGCCACAGCCCTAGCACTGGCCCCAGTGCAGCAGGGTCTGTCAGAGGGACAACTGTGTGGTGTTCCTGCCCTGGTCCCTCCTCACCTGTGTGTGTCTTTTCCGTAGGGCTCCGCTGTTACGCCAAATTCCACCGGAACCGAAGAGTGACCCGGAGGAAAGGGCGCTGTGTGGAGCCCGAGTCGGCCAACGGAGAGCAGGGATCTTTCATCAATGTTTAGGAGGGTGGGACTCCTGCCAGGAGGGTCAGGAGCTGAGCTCAAACTGTTCATACCTAGCAATGGGAATTAGAGGAAAAAAGTGAGCAAATGACTGGAGCTGCAGGCTCTGGACATGCCAGGTTCCAGCTGGGCTGAAACTCATGTTATTTATAAGTAGAGTGGTCTCAGCCTTTGCCACAGCAGATTGTGTTCCCCCTGCCTTCCCTCAGCACATTTCCTGCCACTGAGTTGGGTCCCCCTCTCCCAGTTAGTAAGAAATGATCGTTACTCCCGTTCTGATGGTCCTGGCAGGAAAAGGTTCTGCAGCTTCATCTCTTCTTCTCAAAGGAGTTTAGATGTGGAAGATCCTTCAGGGCAAAGGAGATATGAGCTTAAACTTTACCCTTTAATTATTGCTTGAAAATAAAGGTAGATTGCCCTTAAGGATTGGAGGTTCCTAGAGGAGAGGAAACTTGTAGCCTCCAGATGGATTTGGAGTGGTGGTTCCACACCACCACTTCCTACCTGTCATCTTTGGGACCATCCAGTCCTGCTCCATCCTTCCTTCCTTCCTTTCTTGCTTCCAGAGAACCACCTGGTTTCTGCAAGGATGTGGCAAGACATCCCAGCCTGCAGCTCTCACTCATTTAGTTATCCTGCCAAGTCTGTTATTTTTAATGATTATTTTTAGGAGCTTTCTGGGGAAGTGATAGTTTTCCTAGTGAGCCAAAAATAAAGTTTTTGGTAACAGGAGATAGGGACAGGCTGTTCCATTGTAGTAAATCCTGTGACATGTTGCATGTGTGTTTCCATGATATGTAAATAAAGATATGATAGATCTCCTTTGTGAAACTCTTCTGCTTCTTTGACTGCACCCAAGGATGTGGCAGAAAAGCCAGTAAGGGAGCTGATCAGCAGGTAGCACTGATGATACCAAGTAACCACAGAGCAATTGTGCTACTTGATAGAAAAATTCCTCTACCCAAGGCGGGGATCCAAGCTTCCCTCTATCCTCACTCAAATTGCAGCTAACAATTTCTGCCTGCTGTAGCCATCCAGATGTTTAAAACTTCTTTATATTAATGCTTAATTGCTGACTTCAGTGATGTACTGGAGCAACACAGGCTACCTGTGTTAAACTGCAGTAGTGCTAGTTGGTGAAAATGTTCTTTTCTACTGCTAATACTGCACTATTCTTTTATATTCAAGAACCTGGAGATGTACAGCACTTTCTGTAAGAGCAGAAATATTAATCCTGCTGCTGAACCCTCTTTACACAGCCTCCCTAAACCCCTCTGGGTTCCATTTAGGCAGGCAAACCTCCATTTTGCACTCCTGTTTATGCTGCATGTCACTCTGCATTGTGCATTCACTCAAAGGCTGCTAACATAATACTTTACATCTCTAATATAATGAGTGCCCAGCCATGGCCACAGAGAGATGCTGTGAATACAATGCCAGTTCTGACCTGCACTGCTGAAGGAGGAGTTTGTGCAGGAGCATTTAGGCAAAACCAACCACAGGGTTGCTTGTAGCTATTTAGATTTCTGCCTCCAGCATGACAGGCAGCCCAAAAGGCAGAGTAAAGAAAGGTGGTTTGGCTCCAATTTGTTAACCCAGGGAGAGCAATGCAGCCCCTCCCTCAGCCCAGATGCAGAATAGTGGGTGGTGCTGCCAGTGCCATTGTCAGTGGAAGCATAAAGGGAAAAAAAGGGCTCCTAATTGATCACAGTCAATTGCAGAGCTCTCAGCCCCCTGGTCCCTGTGACACCGATGAAAACCACACGCACAGCCATTGTCAAAAGCAGGTTTGATATCACAGTGTGGTGCTTTCCAGGGTGGTAGCTGAGGTCTGGGTGGAACAGAGCAACTGAAAGGAAGCAGGAAATTTTGCAGGGTCTTCATCCTTGGTGATTCAGGTATTCCTTGCCAAATCCTTGTAGGATCATGGAAAATGTTTTGGTCAAGACTTTGGTGCAAATCCAACTACAAGCAGGCTTAAAAACAACAAGTCTGAATTTTAAGCCAGAGCTTTCAGATGCCAAAAAGAGACTTGCTCCTTCCACTCTTGCCTTTTCAGCTTTCAGTCCGCTATTAACTCTGAATATAAAGAACAGATTATCCTTAATTGGTGGGATTAGTTAAATGTGTAAGGTCAGTGAAAATTGAGTTAGTTATTGTCCATCAAGTCACGGGATTACTGGATTGATTGCTCACAGTGGAGTTTCAGAAAGAGAGCCCGTGACCAAGTCTCATTCCGTCTGAATCAAGCTGTGGTGTTGCAGAGGCGAGGCAGGGAGGGTGAGCAGTGGTCCAGGCACGTGCTGCATCAGCCACAGCAGCGTGAAAAGAATCGGCCTGAATTATGTATCAGCCACATCAACCACTGACTTCGCAATTGCAGAGCGAAGGAAAGCTGTTGAGTAAATAACATGCCAAGGTGTGGAATGCAAGAGCAGCCTGTGATGTAAAACCCCAGGGCAACATTTGTACAACGAGTCCAACCCACTTGTGAGAGCAGCAAAGCCTTTTAGTGCCGCTCTGTGCTGTCTCAAGGGCACGATGGCAGCTGCAGAGCGATACTATCTCTGGGTTACACTCAGCAACTTTCCCCTTCTTTCCCAGTATGGCCCAGTCACTGTGTAGTCAGTGACAGTTCTGCCTTTGGGGGCATTAGGTCTGAAGAAGAGAGGGACACAAACATCAAGCAAGTCTTGATTTATATGTTCTTCTCAACGGATTGTTTGAGAAACGCAAATTAGGAATTCACACAGGCTCTGCTTCTCTACTGCCCCCAGAGAGTTTAAGCCAGAGCTCTTGCAAGGTTTTCTATTGTCTCGAAAGGACTTTGGATTGGACCCAGACCAGCCATAGCACGGCTCTGTGCAATAATTTTTAAAGCTAATTGCAGAGCATGAAAGAAAAGGGAGTGACAGAGTCCCACACAGACTCCTGCTCTACAGCTACTGCTGTTACCAGTCAGTCCAAGGCTTACACATCATTTTAAGCCACTTCTCCAAGGGTGAGAATCAGACATGGAAAAGAGAGGGCAGCGTGCAGATTTCACATAATCATCTCAGCAGCTGCCTGCTCTGCAAATGCTGTTCAGTCTTGGGGATGTTGCTGGCAGTTGCCAAAATCATGACTGCAAGAGAGACAAGGAGTGGAAGCACAAATTAAAACACTTGGGAATCATTCTGTCTCAGGTCTGTAATAGTCTGCATTCATTTTAGCTTGGGGGTGTTTTATTGAAATCCTCTCTCCTCCTTTCCTCCCCCAGTAATTACCCTGTTGTCAATCCACAGTGTGTGCGAGTGCTTCAGTTTCAAACCCATGCTGTACCAAATTGTTCATGTCCATGCCAGTCACTCTCTGCTGCATAAAGCCTGGAAAAAAAACACATTGCTTTCATACTTTTTATCAGGAAAAATACGAGGGCTGTTGTTTTCTTGGAATGTACTGAGTGAGCATATGCACTCCATAAACCCGCTTCTGGTGTGTCAGTTCATTTTCTAGAGTGTCAGTGAATCTTGAAGAGTAGTCCCTCAGTGATACCTCAAAGCTCTACTTGGATTTTAGAAAATCAGAGGAGCAGCTTGTCACTGCTGAGATGGGAAAGGACTTTCAAGTGAGCTTGTCAAGACACCACATCAGTGTGACCCTCTCCAGTCCCCAAATCACCTTGCCACAGCCTCATTTGCAGTGACATTGCAGGAGGAGGCTCCTCACCAGCATTACAAAATACCTTCAGTCTCCCCCCACACACACACAATCCAGGTAATATTTCTGCTTGCTTATTGTCCACTGGGATTCAGAAGGGAGTTTGTAGAGCCAGGTAACTTCTATGTGCCCTTCCCCACTGCTTATTTAGAAAGGCTCCATGGCTAATACATGTGTTTGTGCTGAGCTGGTGCCTTCACTGCTCTCAGCTCCATAGCCAGGGGCACAACTCAGAGACCCTGGAGTCAGCTGCAGCCTTTAGTTACCTTCAGAGCAGACCCCGAGAGAGGGGTGAGAAGGGCAGAATTATGAGGGGTGAGCTTGTCTCCATTCCCCTGGGCCAGGTAAGGACAGCAGGAGCAATTGTATCAACTCCTTTACCTCCCTGTGGAATTGCTTCACCTTCCCCACCAAGGGTAAAGTGTCCTGAAAATGCAAAGGAAGGCATTTCTGCCTTATTAGCCTCACTTTTATGCTGTCAGGGAGGGAGCCAGCTGTATATTAGGCTTTCACTCAGTCTGCACAAGGCATATCATCAACTGGCAAAAAGCATCTAATTGCTGGATATTAGTTGCAGTGAGCTGAACTCACCTGGACCAGGCTTGTAGTCACAAAAATTTCCATATCCTGTTTCCAGTCTCCTGGATTGCCTGCTTCTCCCTGCAGGTCTTCTTTAACTTGCTGCTTATCTTCTTCTCCATGTTTGTGTTGCTTTATCAAGGGGAAGGGAACAGAGACAATTTGCAAGGTACAAGGAGCACAAGGCAGAGATAAAAACCAACCAGCCCCCAGATCTCATAGGTGTGAGAGACGTGCAAATGCATAATGTCTGTCATAGCCCTCATTGTTTTCACATCCACGAGATCATTAAGACATTTCTAAGTCCCTTGAGTGCATGACATGCAAGCCCAGGATATAATAAGCAGGGCTGAATTAATTGCACAATACATTGATGAACAAAATGAAGTAAAGTGCTTTTATTGTACAAGGGGAAAGGAATGCTTTGCGTTAAACAGCGGTCACATCAATCCCAATTATGGCTCAGGTTGCATAAATGATAATGAGACTCTGTCTCACTCACACTGAGTGAGAATGCTGAAGGGAGCAAAGACACCCACACACTGCTGCATCCAAACAGTGCTTATCGTTCAGCTGGGACAGTGGGATTTGTCTTTATAGCAAACAGTTCTCCTTTGACAGATACCTGTCCTGGCAGAAGGGCATCCCAGTGCACTTCACACCCAATACTAAACCAGTAAAATGGCTATTCAGTCTCCCTTTAGCCTTGCCCCCACTCCAGGTGTTCAATCTTTTTTTAGGGTAAACCCCACTTTTTTTTTTAGGGTAAAACCCTGTTCTTGACATTACTGGAACCACTAGCATTGATCCCATTTGATGCCACTACGTCTGTGAATAGAGGCAGGACTTCCCTACAAGACACAGTAACGTGTCCCTGAAAGACACAGTAATGGAAATGAAGTCACAGTTGATGTGTCATGTGGCAATAGATGAATTATATTTCAATCTTTCATTTGAAAGTGACACATTCAGAGATTCCTCAGGAGACTTCTGGTTTTTTACTGCTGTTCTGAGCTATGCAGCCAGTCAGTTTTGTTCTGATGCTTCCTCTGGTTAGCATCTTCTAGGTTGTTTCATATTTGCAATTAATGCTTTACCTTTGGAGATCTGGAAGTGTGCTGCACACACAAGCAGTCAGCAGCACTCAGGGCATGGTGAAGGACAAGCTGGATAGGGCTACAGTTGTGG